CCCCCGATTCTTCCCCCCTTCCCGTCTGTCTCTCTTTCCCCCCTGCATCGCGACCCACGCCCCTGCTTCCCAACGCGATCTGCCTCCCCTCTTTTCCCACGCTCCTCCCCCGCTTACCCTCCGCCCGCCTGCACATGCGCACCAGGGCCTGGCAGGAGCGGCACATCAGTTTGAAGAGAACGCAGGTCTCCTAACATGAGCTCGACGAGAACAGAAATCTCGTTTGGAGCAAAAGGACAAGAGATCATTTGATTTTGATTTCCAATACGAATACGAACTGTGAGAGCGTGGCCCATCGAACCTCTAGCGTTTCAGGACTTCAAGCTAGAGGTGTCAGAAAAGCTACCACCGGGACAACTGGCTTGCGGCAACCAAGGGTTCATAGCGACATTGCTTTTTGATCCTTCGACGTCGCTCTTCCTATCATTGTGGAGCAGAATTCATTAAGTGTTGGATCGCTCACCCGCCAGCAAGTAGAACACTTCGCCACGAGATCGTCATCGGCGTTGGATCCTTGATGCCGCCGATCCACGCATGTGACGCGCTCGAAAGGATTGACGAGATTTCTCCTGCCCATTGCTCTCCACGGCAGTTGAGATTGATCTTGTCCCCTTCATCAGCATCACCAAGTATCATCAGTGTCATCGTCATCAACAAGGATCATCATCATGATCACCATCATCATCATTATTGAGGATTGCTCCGGCGACCTCGTCATTCCACGGGGGGAACGATCAAGAAGACCCTTTAGGGGTTGAATGAAGACCTTCCTCGACTAGGAGGAAGGACCTTGATTGCTCCTGGCCGACCGGGAGCGTGGTATTGTCAATCTATGTTGCATACTCGTGAAACACAGTCATAAGTATGGCGCAGATTCCCATAACCGACCAGATAATACAGAGTTTACAGATACAGCGGAAGACTTGAGATACATGGACTGACTCTGACCTGACTCGGACTGCAAACAGGCACTCTCAAGCATACATCCGGGGTGTGAAAGCCCTGGCCTTGGACACAGACGAAAGGCCAGGGTCTGAGATCATCCACAGACGAAGGGAGAGAGGAGAGAGACGAATGGAGGAGGAGAGGGAAGATGACGTCAACTCAGTGTTTCCAAAGATGGTATCTTTAAATATCCGAGGTAGCGAAAATCCGAAATGTCGCGAACATAGTGTCTCACAGTGTCTCAGATATTGATCTCACAATGTCAACTACATCTCCAGAGGAAGATGAAATCAAATCCCACTAGTAGTCCTCAACCTGTAGTCCCAATGTCGCTGCCTCCAATGTCATCAGAACTCGTAACCATCCTTCATACTCATAGTAGTCCCGTAGGAAAACCCAGGAGTAGACCTGGACTGAGAAGGTAGGAGGAGAGAGAGAGAGAGAGAGAGAGAGAGAGAGAGAGGGAGTGGCGGAGGAGGAAGAGGGAGAGAAGGCGAGGCCTTTCTCCCTGGTACCTGTCCCGGTAGCTATGGCGCTGCAGGAGGTTGGCGCTGGGCCGCGGGCTGGGCCGGTGGCTGGCGCTGTTCCTGCGGCGCTGGTTCCTCCTCGCCGCTGTGTTGATCTCTCCTCGCTGCTCGCACTAACGCTGCTGCGCTGCGCTAATCTCGCTAACGCTGAAATGTTGCGCTAATCCTGAAGACGAACTTTTGTCTACCAACCTCCCTACTGAGGCTGGTACCCAGCCTTTTGTAGTGCTGGGCCGGCCTCCTACCTGCTGGTACCTACCGGCCTGGACCGTTGATCTGATCGACGGTCCAAATTCAAAACTGGATTTGGCGCCTAAACGCGGCAGCCTCTGAAACTGCGCCGCCGGTAGGTCCTATGGTGGACGGGGACCGGCCTTATGGCCGTTGGCCTGGCCCTCTACTCCTGGCCTGCCTGAACCGCCGTCCCCTTAGGCCTACCTGGGCCTCATCTGAACCGTCGTCCCCTTAGGCCTACCCTGCCTACCTGGAACCGGGCCCTAACTGGGGCCCGTGTGGCTCAGAATGCCACACACTCCCCCCCTTGAAGATCGAGCTAACTGCGAGGGCGAAGCTGTCTGTCCGATGTCCGTACGGGGCAGCCAGGTTGGGCAGCTTCCTTAGCAAGTCGCTGTTTTTCGTAATGCGCGAAGATGAGGGGTGATGTCGCCTTCAGGTCAGCTCGTGAAATCCAGCGTGTGTCGTCAGGATCGCATTGCTTAAATGTAACTTTGTACTGCGTTGGCTTGTTGCCATGCTTGCGATGAGTGAGAACGCGATCGACCTCCTGGTGACCATCCATTGAAGGAGGGTCGTGTGACCATCTGCCCGGGAAGTCCGCTGCGGAGGCTAGAGTGTAGACCGCCAGCTTTGAAGTGTGAAATAGCGGGTGGACGGTCAAATGTGGGGGAATCTCGATGATGAAAGATGGACCCGCGAGGTCATTGCCAGCTGCTGAAGTGACCTTCCATTGCCCAAAGCACTTGGGGAGGAGCTTGCGCGAGACTTGCTACTCGAGCGCGAATTCCTCGGAGGTGACCCAAACCAGGTCGCCAGCGCGGATTGGACTTGGGATGCGACGCCGGTTCGCTTGCTGCTGCATACGGACCTGAGCCTTTTGCATGTTTGCGCGGGCTTTGGCCAGCAGTTCCCTGTACTTCCGTGTAGAAGCGGGGGAGCAAGCGGCGTCGATATCGGCAGCCCGTGGAAGCGAAATGTCTGCGAAGATACGTCCTTTCCGTCCACCGTGATGTAACTCGAATGGAGTCACGCCAATCGCCGGGTGCACCGAAGTGTCGTAGGCGAATTCGATGTCGGGAAGGCGGTCAACCCAGTCCTTCTGATCCGGGCGGATGAGTGTGCGGAGCATCATCTGCGCACGTTCCGTTTGCCCATCCGTTTGAGGATGTCGTGCGAAACTCGGTTTCATGCTGATGCCGGATTCCACCATGAGTGTCGTCCAAAAGGCTGACATGAAACGAGTGTCGTGGTCGCTTACGATATCTTCCGGAATGTCGTGGCTGCAAAACCAGCCAGTGTGCAAAAGTCGTGCGAGCTCGGGAGCCGTCCCATGATACTTACATGGAAGAAATCGAGCGTACTTGCTCAAACGGTCGACGACCGTGAGAATACCATCATGGCCAAGGCGATCGCGAGGGAAAGGACCGGTCACATCCATAGCAATGGAAAGACCTGGTTCACGAGGAATGGACAAAGGTTTCAGTTCGCCGTACGGGAGCTGATGGCGCCCTTTGTTCCGATGGCAAACTGCACATGACTGAATGTACCAGTTGACGTCGCTGATGGTGTCCGACCGGTGAAATCGCTGGCGGAGTCGTGCAAGTGTGCGTGCGACGCCAAGGTGTCCCGCCAGCCGCGAATCGTGGTATTCGTCAAGGAGGCGAGTGCGCAAGATGCGGTCTTGGGGAACACACAACAAGTCCTTGCCTCGTGTATGGAGAAGCAAGTAGCCGTCGACAATGCGATAATTGCTTGCCGACCGTTGATCCGATGATAAGTCCGCGTAGAGTGTGGAGAATCCCGGATCCGACTTGTAGCCGTTTACGAAATGCTGTTGCAGGTTCTCGTCGAGGCGGAATGTGGAGTTCACCAAGGCGCAAAGATCGGGTCTTCGCGAGAGAGCATCCGCTGCCTTGTTCGAGGAGCCCGGAATGTGCTTGGAGGTGAAGTTGAACTGGTCGATGAAGTACATCCAGCGACCGATCGTGCTGCTCACCGTGTCTTGCGTCTTGTAATACGTCAACGGATTATTGTCCGTTGCCCACGTGAATCGCCGACGCCCGAGGAGAAAGTGACGCCAACGCTTAAGTACGGTGACAAAAGCTAGCAATTCCTTTTTCCTCGCATCATCAAGTGAATTGATGGGGAACACCTTTTGGCTGAAGCACTCAACCGGGTGCTAGTCTGTGCCGTCATGCTGTTCCAAAACCGCGCCAATGCCGTAGTCGGAAGCATTCGTAGTCACTTCGGTAGGCAAGGTCGGGTCATAGATGCTTAAGACGGGAGCTTGAAGCAAAGCCGTCTTCAACGTGTGGAACGCATGCCGGGCTTCGTCGTTGAACTCAAAGGGCACCAAGGGGGACTGAAGTCGCGACAATGGTGCAGCGATCCGTTGAAAACCTTTGACGAAGCGCATGCAATATGATCCTAAGCCGAACGAATGCCTTGCGGCATAACGTAATGGCCCAAGTACTCCAGCTCTTGCTGGGCAAACTCACACTTGTCGCGGTTCGTTTTGTACTTGGCGATACGGAGCCGCTCCAAAACGGCGCGAAGGTGCTTGAGGTGCTCGTCCAGCGACCGGCTATAAACCAAGATATCATCAAGGTAAATGAGCACGGTGTGGTCGAGTAGGTCGCGGAATTCCGTCGTCATAGCCGCTTGGAAGGTAGCCGGGGCATTGGTGAGACCGAAAGGCATGACGATCCACTCAAAGTGCCCATACCGCGTCTTGAATGCGGTTTTATACCGAATTATTGGCTGGATCTCGATCCGGTGATATCCGGACTCGAGGTCAAGCTTCGAGAAGTACTTGGCGCCGCCTAGTCGCTCGAGAAGATCATCGATCCGAGGGAGAGGGCCGACGTTTTTGATCGTTTGCGCGTTAAGTTTCCGATAGTCGATGCACAAACGAAGGTCCTTGTTCTTCTTCTGGACGAAGAGAACGGGAGCACCGTATGGCGAACAACTAGGGTGAATCCAGCCCTTGACCAAGAGGTCGTCTAGTTGTGCCCGAAGCACTTGAAGCTCCTCTTCGCTCATGCGGTAGATACATCCGCGCGGAGGTACGGCGCCGTCCTCGAGAGTGATCCCGTGGCGTATGGGCCGATCCGGTACGACTCCGGCGGGAGCTTGGAAGACATCCTCATAGCTGTCCAAAAGCTCAATGATGCGTGGGTCCGATGTGTCTGTCTTGGGCTGATCACCGGGTGGGAGGGCGTGAAGAAAACATATGCCCATCTCCTCGATGTCGTTCCGCCGGATGGATTGGCGAATGCTCGTCGCGGAGACCACGTGACAACCAATCGAAGGATGAGGAAGCGGCACCGTACACGGAACTAGTTCACCACACCGATCACGAACGTGAACGGTGCGTCGATAAAACTTCACCAAATGGTCTTCGCTTTGCAGCCACAACATGCCTAAGATCATATCGAACTTTATGTCCAATATGTCCAATGACACGGCCTCGCGTGCTAGCGGGGCAAAGTACACGGGCACGGAGTCAATGCAGCGGTCGATTGACTTTTGCGTATGACCATCGGCCAACGTGACGTGCGTAGGCTGACTTTTCCTTCGAACGCGTGGGCCAAGCCTGGCGCGTGCCATGAAGTCTTGGCTGATGTCGTTGCGAGACGCTCCACAATCGATCAAGGCACTGCAGGTCGCCTTTCCAATCTGAATGCGGATGTAGAGGAGCGGTGCGTCGATGTCGACGTACCGTTGCGTTGCGTGCTCGCGGTCGATCTTCGCAAGATAGTTACGAAGGTCAACAACCGCTACTCCGTCGTCCGTCGACAGAGGTGGTACTGCAGCGTGCAAGTATTAGCGCAAATGTGTCATCAAGGCGTTGCAATGCGGTGTTGGCAAAGAACCGGTGGACGGAAGAGGCAACCATTGGAAGTCCTCAACCGTCAATGGGTCGAGTTCCTTAAGACTTGCCCAAGTTGACGGATCCGGCCAGGTATACGCACGCATCAGATTGGCTAAAGTCTGATGCCAACCAAAGTGTCCCTCTGTGTCATGGCATTCCCCTAGGATCAGACTACGGATCTCCTCACTGTTGGGGATGCACAAGCGGTCTACTACATTAGTCTTCTCAAACAATAGTCGTTCAGTAGTGCGGTAGTCTGGTTCAGTCTCTGGGGCCTCCTTAACTCTCTTGAGGAGGTCACCATAGATAGGGTCATGTGCATACGCCTGTCTAACTTTTTCTTGCAGGTCCTTTCCTATATCCAAATAGTGCACTATAGCTCCAAAGTAGTCTGATCTCCCACTTAGAGCATCCACAACTACATTGTACTTGCCTTTGACCGGTTTGAGCTCAAAGTCATAATGATTTATCTCAGCGGCCCACCTAGTCAACTTAGGTGTCATTTTGGCCTGGGTCTTTAACCATCTAAGCGTCTCATGGTCAAAATATACTTTGAAGTGCCTCCCAAGCAAATAATGTTTCCAGTGCTCTAAAGCCTACCTGAGAGCGTAGAGTTCCCTCTCGTACGTCGAGGTAGCAACCTTTTCTGAGGGCATCCTTGCTGACATGAACTCTACGGGTCTGTAGCCATTGTCGTCGTCTTGCTGCAACACGGCGTACTGACTCGCATCCGTGGTGACAACAAATGGCGAAGACGAATTAGCTACTTTGAGGACAAGATACTTTATTAGCGCGTGCTTCAGTCTTTTTAGCGCAGACGTACAATCTTTGTGCCATTGCCAGATTGCCTCTTTCTTAAGCAACCTGCGCACGGGAGCGGCCATAGTAGAGAAGTTCCTCACAAACTTTCTATAGTAGTTGGCTAGGCCTAGAAACGACCGCAACTCTGTCAATGTGCGGGGCGTTGGCCAATCTCTAATTGCCGCTATCTTGCTGTCCTCTGGCTTAATGCCATCTCCGTCTAACACGTGGCCCAAGTACAAAACTTGTGTCTTGGCCCACTCACACTTCTCCGGGTCGATCTTGAAGTTAGCCTCTCTTAGCTTCTCCAAGACCTGCCTCAAATGAACCTGATGCTCTTGGAGGGGCTTGCTGAAGATTAATATATCATATAAATAGACTACTACAAACTTGTTTAACCACGGTCTAAACAGATCATTCATACAACACTGAAATTTAGCTGGCGCGTTGGTTAGTCCAAAGGGCATCACTATAAACTCATAATGCCCATAACGAGTCTGGAACGCAGTCTTGTACTGGTCATCATGATGGACTTCTATCTGATGATACTCGGACTTCAAATCTATCTTGGAAAAATACTTGCAACCCTGCACCCGATCTAAAAGATCGTCTATCCTAGGCAGCGGCTCCGCATTCTTCACTGTGATGGCATTCAAACCCCTATAGTCTATGCACATACGTAACTCTCCTTCCTTCTTGGGGACAAACAAAATTGGTGCTCCAAAAGGAGACGAACTGGGCCTGATCCAACCTTTCTCCAGGAGCTCGTCCAATTGCTTACGTAGCTCCTCTAACTCTCTAGGGGACATCCTGTAGACTGCTCCCTTAGGAGTCCTACTGCCAGGCTCTATTTCTATTCTGTGCTGGATTGGTCGCGACACTACTCCTGTCGGCGACTCGGTCAAATCTTTGAACTCCTCCAGCAGCTTGGCAATGGTTGGATCCGTGGAACTATCCCCTTCCTTAGGCTCAGTGACAGGTCTGACATATACTACAAAGACCTGGTCCTCTAGTTGCTCTTTTTTCACTAGTCGCGCCAACGCGGGAGCACTGAGACAGCAATGTGCCAGAGTGTTGTCTACACCGGACACATGAAACAGGCGGGCAGTCTTAACCTCGCCTGACGGACTAGGGAGCCTACACTCGTGCTCTCTCAAGTGGAGTGTGGCCCCTGCTCCCTCTCCCCAATCCATTCCTAACACTATGTCAAAAGGAAGGTCATCTTGTACGAGGAGAGTCAGGGAATGGAGAACTTTCTCCACCTTCCCATCCTTCTCTAGGCGAAAGTACGCCTGGACTCCCTCTACGTAGTCCTCAACACGCATTGTGCGGTTGTCTGCGAGGACACTGACTATGGGGTCTGCCAACTTTTGGACTTTTAATCCTAGCCTTAGCTTTTTTAGCGCTCTGCGGCTAATGTAACTACGGGTAGCCACTGAATCTATAAGGGCCCCTACTCTACTCCTGAATACTTCTACATCAACTAAGATTAGTTGTCCCTTACTCTCCTTCTTCATTTTGGCCTAGGCTGGCATCCTCTCCTTCAATTCCTCTGCCACGCCTGTGAGGGACGTGCCTAGAGAGACGCTAACACAAGCAGTCTCTGGACAGCTAGCTAGGCACGGGCCTGCAACCTCTGCCATAGGCTCATGTGGTTTGGGAGTTTTCTGTATGCGCGCGCTCGCTTCCCCACATGGCGTTGAAGTAGGGGCAGTTGCGACCCCTACTAACGGCTGCCTTTTGACTGCTGAGCAGCCCATCAGGGTTGTCTATACTTAGGACAAAATTTGATTACATGGGCCGGGTCACCACAAAACACGCACTGACCCAAGTCCACGCGTTCCTGCCATACGCGCTGGTCCAAGCCCAAATCCTCCTAGGGCCTACCCTGCGGCAAGCCTGGGTGCCATCCTCCTTGAGGTGGCCTTCCACCTCTTCGCTGCGGGGACCGACAAGAACCCTGGCGATTTGGCGGGGGACCTTGACCCCTACCTCCCACTTGGCGGTTCCCTTGTCCGCCAACCCCTTGTGCACCCGGTCCTCGGCCTCCCATGGCCTGGCCCCTTTGGCCCTGGCCTCCTCCTCTACCTTGCGGCCTCCCTCCAGCCGCGACAGCCGCATAGGACCTCCCCTGCCCTACACTACTGTCCTCTTCCTCTAACCCCCACTCAATCTCACTGTAGGGGACTTCATCAGTACCACCTTCTTCTAAAGTAAGGATCATCTGATCCTTGGCCCTGACTTGGCCAGAGATGGTACGCCCTTTCCACTTCTTCCCTTTATCCAAGTCCTTATGCCAGAAAGTGGAAACTGCCATGGACTTTGACTCAAACAGGACCACCTCTCTACTTAGCACATCATAGGTGATGCCTGTTGGGATTTGTCAAAGAAATGCCCACGCAGGGGCTCGGGCATGGCACGATAGAACAATTGGACCAGTTGGGTCTCAGTGACCCCATGGTCCGGGACGGCTACCAAGTCGTCCATGACCCCCTTGAGTGCTCTTGCACTCCTCCACTGTCGTGAGTCGATAGTTTGTAACTTGTCAGAGGCTCTAACGCCTCTCGATGGATCAGCAAATCTCTCCCTCAGGAATTTGAAGAATTAAGGAAGTGGGGTGACCTTAGAATATGCAACCAGGTTGTTTTCACAACCGGCTGCGCGCGCAAGGGATCTGGCAAAGCTAGCCGCTTTGTCCTAGAGGGCCTGGAAGGCGACGAGGACTTGCTCCTCAGTCAAGATGTGTTGTAAGTATATGTGACTATTGACGCTTGCCTCCCAGTTATCGAAATTCTCCTCCTTCCCGCCGTATGCATCTGGGAATTTCAGTTTGACGGGCTCCTTACGAGGCCTGGCCTCACTATCGACAGTGGCTACCGCTTTGGCACTCTCAATAGCGCCCTCACAGAACTTTCCCACATTGTCTCTCAACCGTCTAACTTCGCCCCCAACGTGGGTGACCATATCGCACGCAAAATCCCGAAATCCTGACCGCATGGCCTTCAGGGCCACATCGTGACCCCAGTTGGCTTGGCGCTCCTCCATCCAAGCCGCACTCAACACTTCCAAGTATCCCAGCATCTTATCCATTTTGGCAGACATGTCTGTCTGCACCTGCACTTCTTGTCTACAATCCCTCACTTTTGCCACTTCTGCGGTCAACCTATTAACTTCCTCCCTCCTCCTCTTCTTTTCTCTCTTCATCCTCAGTTTCCATTCCAACTTTTTCTCCTCCTCTACTTCTTGCCTTTCCAGGGGGTCCTCGATTTCTGCTAGCTCATTGGCTAACGCATCCCTCTCGTCCTAGGGCACATAAAACTCTGCCTCCTTATCCTCCCCCAACGATAAATTAGCAATCCACTCGCTGATCTTTTTCTCCATGGCTGCATCCTCATTTGCCGTGCCACTACTTTCCCCTTTTACCTCCCTGCGTTTTCTCTGCTCTTCTGCCTCTGCTGCTGCTTCTTCCTCGGCAGCCTTTTTCTTCTCCTCCATCTCCTCCTCCAACTTCTTCATCTTCGTCGCCTGGTCCTCTGCGATAGCTTTCAGCTTTGCCTGCTTCAGGAGCTCTTTTCTCTCCTTATTTTCTCTCACTAGGGCGGCCATTTTCTCTTGCTGTTCCTGGGTGTAAGGGCTAGTGCTCTTCCCACTCCGGGTGTCAACCATGGTGATAAGTGCACAACCGGATTAGCGGTTCCAAACCTCACCACTTAGACTCTAGCCCCTAACTGACAACCCTAGTGACTCAATCTAAAGACTCACAGAATCCGGACAGGGATCCTGTCAACTAAGGTCTCTAGCCTAGACCTACACTATGTTGCTGATCAGGAGGCATTCAAGGAGATCCCCCGCAACTCCTCAGGAATTATTTAACGTCGCAAACAGGATGATGCGATCAGCAGGTCTCTCAACACTTAGACTGTCTGTTGCGCAGCCCACAACTCAGCCTTTCGGGCCTACCGTGCCACACCGAGCAGCCCGCCGGTCTGTACCGGTCCTTGGGAGGGTTAGGCCTCCGGGACAGTCGAGTCGTCAAACACAGTCTTTAGGCCTACTTGGTTCGGCAGGGGTTTGGTCAACAAGGCCTATCCTTCATCCACAGAGTACTATCACCTAGACAGAAGAGACTCGATGCAGAAAGAAGAGACAAACAGACTGGACTCAGCACGTACCACAGGGTGTGTGCTCATCCATAGGGCGAGGGATAGGCTGAAGGCTTGGCGAGATTTTACCGGCTCCATCTTGGTCAAACTCGTGGTCAATGGCTTGGTCAACGCCGGTCAACGCTGCGGGCCACTCCCGGTCAACCCTCGGCCAACCCCCGGTCGGCTATGGCTGCCGGCTTCACTTTCTCTCACCAACCTTGTTCTTCCCTTC